TTATATTGACCAATTTTAGACCGTAAGCGTAATCTTGCTTGCAAACAAAACTACTGAGACAGATATAGAATGCATCAATTTCTTTCTACGTATGTACATGGTTGTATGATTGTCCCTCTTCTTTAGCGTAGAAGCATGACTTGTCTGGCTTCAATAGGCAGTTCAAAGAGAAATTAATCTGTCACTTTCCAGTTTCAGAATACAGGTGTAATATTGCGCCAATAAACAACTGTCCTTATTTCTTGCTGGACTCGCCTTTATTTTCCAAAACCGAACCAACCTTTAAAACGCCTACATAAGCACATTATCTCACCGACACTCAAATTTGTTTTACTTCAAAACCGTTGTTAGTTAGTTTTCAGGTTCGGATTCCGTCCGTGGAACATTTTTCACTGGCTATGTGTTTCCGGGTGTGAGAGGGCGGAGAGATATTTGTCCTCTGCAACCGACTGAATGACCTAAAATTGAGCCTGTGGCCCCGGTTTTGTAATCAGAGACGCCCTTGTTTGTACGAGCAGGGGGGTTGCCTACCCTTCAGGCGCTCGACGCTTCCCTGGCGCAGCCCGTTGCCTACCCGTTGCCCACACGTCTCTTTTTAGGGCCACATAAGTGTTGCCACTTTGCATCTGAACTGACACTACTTGGGGCTCGGGGGCTCCCCAAACCCAAGGGACAGCTTGTGTACTGATTGCCTACCCTCCAGGCGCCCTCAGAAACAACTCGCCGCAAGGGTGACCCTCGCAGTATAAACGAGTCGACGGGCCCAACGCCTGCGGCGCATCGGGTAGGCCTTTCCGCCAAGTTTCTGTGTGGAGATGGTGGCCTACCCTCAGCGCCTGCTAGCATAAGTGGTCGCACATACCCTGCAACGAGACTACTACGGGCAACAGGCAACACTGTTACTGTTGTTTGCTGCGCTAGGCTGGTGGTTTTTTGGTTTGCGAGGTTAGAAACTGCTGTTGTTATTTTCCCTTTGTTCTGGTTCGTCTTTGCAAATTATAGATGTTTCAATAAAGTGTCATAGAGACACCTCTATCTATGCGTAGACGCGGAAGAACGCTAACGTGATAACTCTCATTGACAAACTTTTCTACATAACCTTGCTTTGAATTTACTCTTGTGCCAAACTTTTTTTGTCATTTCTCTATCAGGCATATTTAAAGGAATGTCTAAAATCTCTTCTGTTTCTCTTTTATCGGGCTGTTGGTATTTGGTGTCTAGCCAAAGATGTTAAATCTAGAGAGAATGAAAACTCGCAAAATACGAGTGCTCAAAATGATACCATTACATAACCTGAAAAAGTTCATGGTCTTCGCTCTACAATCGTACTACTATCATGTCTGTAGGTGCTATGTGTTCCTAGATGAAAGTACAAACAATTCATAAAGGGTGACACCGCACTGAGATCAATACTCGTTCTTCCTACCACCAAGAAGGTGATGTGGGCTGGTAAAGAACGAGTAATGAAAGCCTCAAATGGTCTCCAATGAAAAATTTCATTAAGTTGGTGCAGTGAATGTAACTAAGGCCATTGAGAGTAATTTGTAGCCCCCTGCCCCTCATTCTGTCACCTTCACAGCTCTAATTTATGACTCTCCTCCTGCGGGTACGGAGGGAAATAATATAATAGGTACTCAGCGTAGTAATGTAGGATGTTTTTAAAATAGAAAAAGAGTGCCAGTTTTCTCATTTTGTGTCCTTGGGGAATAACTGCTATTAATCTCAGATATAGTCCCCAAATTTTTTGAGTTTTTCAAGTAGGATTCTAGTTTTTTGTTTACATTTAGAATTAATTTTAAAGCCTCTGAGAACCCGTAGTGACTTTAACCTTTCTGCTGCACCAAGGCTTGGGAAAGGGAATGGAGGACATCATGAAGCAGGACTGGAAGAAATAAGGGCTTACGAAAACGTTTTACTTTATTTATTTTCATGAAATTTGACAAATAGTAATTATGATGTATTTAGGTTCATATCCCCTCATTGATTTTGCACTTTTTTCTGCTCAAAGACAGGCACAAATATTCAAGTTCCTGCTAACGTTCATGAATGCTCTTTTTCTCTATAGTCCTTTAAGTATTGTTAAAAATGCAAAGTAAATAATATGGGAACAGAGTTAAAAGTGCATGAATATTTATATAAGCTTTATATTTCTTGGATCCCACCTGTGAACGTTGGACGTTGAGTTGACATTGTTTGTCCTAGGCAATGCTTTTGAAGCAATGGCAAGTCAATGTTATGCAGCTCCCTAAAACTGTAGAGAGTCCAGAGAGGAGTTGGTGTAACCATGATATATGTAGACCAATATTCTGTTTTTACCCTTGTTGCAGGAAGACCGTCATAGTTGCTTCTGCGCTTGACGTCAGCTTAGCAGACGTCAGCTGTCATCCAATGCATGCTGAGTCGGTGTCACAGCACACAGCATTAGAAATGGCCCCTTCTTCTCATGATCACAGGAATGAGTCTGGTAAGTTTGGACTTTTTATGTAATGTTAACCAAATAAATCAAGAATCTATCTTGAAAGCAGATGATACAAATTTAAGAATATGTTTGTTTTCAAATTTCCTCCCGGATTTAACTGTCATTTGTTTCTGGTTGCTTGTTATTTGCAATTTCAGCGTACAAGCGCGGCGTTGAAAAGCGCGGGCACTTTCTGGTCTCCGCTTGATTCTCTTGCCGTTTCGAGAGTAAAAGCTAGCTGACACCTTAAATTTACTTTATATTCTTTACGTTTAGTCAAAAGGTTCTTAAGGTATCATCTGCTAAACATATCAATACGCATTATGGTAGTGTCATTTTTGGTAAAAGTTTATTTTGGTATTTGTTTCTATTAGGGGGTTACTTGTCATATCTTTACTGTCTCTATGCTACTTCCATATATACCGCTTATCACTTGATCCTAAAACATTTAGTCGTGTGTTGATTTTAGTAGAGGGAAAGTGAGAGAGGCAAATCATCAGAGAGTCAGTTACAGTAATGCTGCTATTTATTTCATTTGTCTGGTACAGTCGTAGTAAAACAGGAAGTGATGCTGTTTCTTGTCCATAGGGATATGCCTGGACTTGATGCTGGCCACCTGTAACATAGAATTTCATTCGATGAGTTGGCATTACAGTGATACATATGGTCCAGAACATGTTTGAGTTGAACTGAGAATTTGAATTTAACTTAGATTTTTTTCATTCTTTTTCAGGTATTCAGATTCGCTCCAAGTCACCAGCAGAAACAAGCCAGCTACTTGAGGAAGACTTACTCTTATAATGTAAATTATTTGAAACAATAAAGAATAAAAAATGACTACATCTGACATTTTACTTGATTTCATACACCTAGTTAGCTAGAAGCTGTGGTAACTGTGGATGTAGTAGCAGACTGCCACCACTACCGCAGTGACGTCACAGACGTCTCTGATGCAGCGGCTGCAGTGGCAGCAGTAGGATTACCACTACTACTACCCCCACAGCCCCCGCAGCAGCGGCGGCAGCCTGCTACTACCTCCACAGCAGCCGCAGCCGGGAGGAGGGCAGGGGGAGGGGAGGTTTTTTTGGACGGCTTAGGGCGACACGTCCAGCCCCCTCATTGACGCAGTGAGGTCACGCGTTGCACGTATTGTCCCCATGCAAGGGGTCCGCTGACTCCACAGCGTTGAGCGGAACGGCTCCGCTAGACCCTTCCACAATGTGGGTTGATGAATGAATTTACAGGGGGGTAAAGAAAAATAACTGGACCAACGGTCATCACTGTGACGCCAACTCAACTTATATCTGATGATTCCATGGGCTGCACGGCTGATGTCCATACAGAAACACCTCCAGGCCGATCTTCCTGCAACAAACCAAAGAGGCAGTTTTAGTCGAAGAAACATGATGTAAAAGAGCCAGGAAGCACGCAATTTCGACAGAGGAGGTCAAAGGCGACTCTTCTAGACCAATTCAAATCATTTCCAGCGATTTTTAATTTTTTCATTTTTGGCAAAATATACAAAGGCTATAGCCTTTGTGTTTTTAGCGAAAATTGATG